GCACGAGTTCAGTGGAACGCACTCTTACTAGTAGTATCAAAGAAATTAGACGCATCTGGAGAGCGAAAACTACAAATAGTTGTGGATTTTCGGAAATTGAATGACTTAACAATTGGCGATTCTTTCCCGCTCCCGAATATCACTGACATACTAGACCAACTAGGAAACGCGAAATACTTACAACATTGGATTAGCATCGGGATACCATCAAATACCCCACTAGCATGAGGAACACAAACAAAAACAGCATTCTCCACACCTTACGGGCACTACGAATTTAATAGAATGCCTTTTGGATTAAAAAATGCGCCTGCAACATTCCAGAGACTTATGAATTCCGTACTAACCGGATTACAAGGCCTCAAATGCCTAGTATATCTAGATGACATCGTAATATATGGACCAAATTTGAAAGAGCATAACAAAAGACTAATTGAAGTATTCAAAAAACTAAGAGACTACAATCTGAAACTACAACCGAATAAATGTGAATTCTTAAGAAAGGAAGTGACATACTTAGGACACATTATCTCCGAAAACGGTATAATACCGGATCCTGCGAAAATAACGGCCGTAGCAAACTTTCCAATACCAAAACGGGTAAAAGATGTGCAATCCTTCATAGGATTAGCCGGGTATTGTAGAAGATTCATTCTAGAATTCTAGAATTTTTCGAAGATAGCAAAACCACTGACAAAACTAACAAAAAAGGATGAGAAGTTCGCTTGGACAGCAGAACAACAGAACGCATTCGAAATATTAAAAGAAAAGTTAATGACCACACCAGTTCTAGCTTACCCGGACTTCACTAAACAATTTATAGTAACGACAGACGCATCCGGATACGCCATCGGAGCAGTATTGTCGCAAGGGCCAGTAGGCCAAGACCGACCAATTGCATACGCAAGCAGAATTCTGAATAAAGCGGAACAAAACTATAATACAACGGAGAAAGAATTGCTAGCCATAGTATGGGCCGTCAAACACTTTCGACCGTACCTCTATGGAACAAAATTTCAAATAATTACAGACCACAAGCCATTGATCTGGCTATTTAGTATAACAGACCCTGGTTCATGATTAATCAGATGGAGGCTCAAATTGGAAGAGTACGACTATGAGGTAATACACAAGGCAGGTAAAGGCAATACAAATGCTGACGCGCTCAGCAGAAACCCGATCGCGCCTGACACACAGATAAACAGCATCGAGCGCGACAAGGAAGAACGCGAATATAACAAAGAAGACAAGGAGCAAATAATGCACGAATATCATAATGCCCCCCTCGGAGGACATCAAGGCGTAACACATACCGTAAATCGAATACGACTAATGCACAACTGGCACGGACTAATACGAGATGTGGAAGAATACATCGCCAAATGTGAATATTGCCAGAAAAACAAACTAAGCAAGAAAACCAAAATGCCTCTAGTACTGACCGACACAGCAGAAAGACCGTTTCAAAAATGCGCCCTGGACATCGTAGGACCACTCACGGTCACCATGAAAGGAAATAAATACCTACTAACATTTCAAGACGACTTAACAAAATTTAGTAAAGCAATATCGATATCAGACCAGGAAGCAAACACGATTGCCAAAGAGTTCACCACAGAAATAATATGCGAATTCGGAATACCGGAGACAGTACTGATAGATCAAGGAACGAACTTCGTCAGTGAAATGTTCAAGGATGTATGCACTCTCCTAAAAATAACGAAAATTCAAACAACCGCATACCATCCTAAAAGCAACGGAGCCCTGGAGAGATCGCACAGGATTCTGATCGAATACTTAAGGCACTATATAAACGAGGATCAAACCAATTGGGATGAATGGATCCCATACGCGATGTTCACGTACAATACGACACCGCATACAGCAACGGGCTATACACCGTTCGAATTGATGTACGGGCACCGAGCAACATTACCTACGGCTCTGGCAGCGCCGCCGAAACCATATTATACATACGATAACTACGCGCAAGAATTAAGAGAACAACTCAGAGCCACACAGAAAGTAGCAAAAGAACATATTCGCGAAGCAGAACAAAAAGCAAAAAACTATGCAGATAAAAATACGAATACTAAAACCTTTAAAGTAAGAGATAAGGTCCTCCTGCATGACGAAGCAGTGCGCAGAGGACGATCGAAGAAATTAGAAGCACCATGGATAGGTCCATATCAAATAATCGAGAAAACCTCTGATGTTAATTACAAAATTAAACAGAAACGAAAAATTACGACGGTGCACGCGAATCGACTCAAACTATTCATCGAAGATTAGCAAACAACGCATACGAATAATTACCCGCAAAAAGCAAAAAGCAAAAGCAGTAAAATAAGGACATTAACAATAATGACAGCATAAAATAGAGTTAGTAAAAAGAAAAATACAGGACTCACCAGTCACGCAGGACAGTGACGAACCGCTGCCCGGTGGCAACGCAAACCTGCACCCGCAACGAGTCGCGGGGGTAGAGCTCCTCGCAGACGGGCGGAGGGGGCACAGGAGACCTCTCAACGCAGATCGCTTGAATACGGGGACGATACTCCCCCGTCCAGACGACCGTGGACGGCCACCTGGATGACATCCTCAAGGTTACCCGTTGGGCCGCCAGGCGGTATGACCGCCGCACGCACTCGCCGCACACATGATGGGAACATGTTCCCGACCACACCTAGTGCACTGCATAATGGAAAATAAACTAAGAAATAAACAAAAAACCGTCCACGACGCGCGACAGACCACGGTCGACCGAACAAAATAATTTATAATATTAAACGTAGCACACAAAAAAATGCACGACGAGGATTCACGGAAAAGTAACCTGATCCCTAAACTTGCAGGATGCTCCTTATGTGGAGAAGAGCAGGACAAGCGACACCTGACTCTCGGCATACTCTTGACTGGAAATTGTTCTCACACCAGCCAGGAATCTACTATGAGGAAATCGGCCAGCTGAGACAGGCTGAATCGGCATGGAGATTAGTGATAAAACTGAGCGCAAAAGAATTAGAGATCAGACACCAACAATTGCAAGACTATATGGAGGAAACCGCAATACAGTGTCGAAAGAATAGGCAACGCCCAGTTAGGTTGCCGAAACATTATGAGGATAATAGAAAGAAAAAACACCAAACTGATCACGCTGTTGACACAAGTAGAAACGCTATACAAAACGACTGACAAACGACGAGAACTGCTAGATCGCGGTCGGGTCGGTCAAATATTATTCGGTCAGCAAAATATTATTCGGAACGATGGACGCCGACGATCAGAAACTAATAGACGAGCAACTGCAAACGTTACGAACAAACGGCAAGGTACTGCAGCACGCAGTAGCAAATCAAATAAAAGTAATCAACGCCACAATAGCGCACTTGGATGAATTAGAAAATACTCTAAATTATAATGAAAATCTGATAATGAGTGCGACAAAACGATTAGAACAACGGTTGACCGAGTCCACACTACAGGCAGACGTAGACGAACACTTACTAATCCTGACAACGATAATGAACGATTTAACGAAGGACACGGAAAATGTAATAGACTATCTGACATACGGGAAAAACGGAATGATACCGACATGACTACTACCCATCAAACATATAATAACAGCCCTCAAAGAAGCGGCTACACAATTAACCATAGGATTACACTTTCCTTTTAAAATCCAGATTGAGCACTGGCAGACCATACACACATACATCACTTTTAGCGCGTATTCAGATGGTCCATACATATACACAATCTTGCGATTTCCGGTAGTAGCATACCCTACATTTAAACTAGTTAAAGCAATACCGTTACCAGTACACGATCATGCGAATGTATTCGCCTACATAAAAATAAACCATCCCTTGCTAGCTATAGATAAAGAGAATCACCACTACAAATTACTAGAGGAAGTAGAGTTAGAATGCTGCATACGAGAAACAAACACATACACATGCGAACAGAACTTCGCGACATATTATGCGGAAACGACAGCACCATGCGAGGTGCAAATATATACACATACACCGGAACAGCTCAATTACTGCGAAAAGAACCATATGATATCTAACACACCGTTGTGGATAGCATTGACGGAGGAGCAAGCGGCTCTACTCCACGGCACACAAGCAAGAAATTAGCATTAAGTGCGAAAAACAAATAGAAGAGCAAATTATATTAGAAGAAACCGGAAAAATAAAACTAAAAGATAATTGCAAACTAATCACACCAAACGTAATATTAAAAGCACGAAAAATTGTGGAAATAAAATATATTCAAAACTACCTCCCCGAGTACAATATAACATTAAAAATAAAAAATAAAGACACCAATAAGAATAAGCTAGCGAAAACCGACACGTTACGACAAATAATTAAGAACCCCGTAGATTTAACCAAGTTAAGCATAAGTCTAGAAGAAATAAGAGAAACTCTAGAAGATAGCGATTATAACTTACTCAAAAATAAATACTGTATACTCTATGGGAACAGGCACTTGCGTAGTAATAATAACTATAATAGGATTAATAACATGGCGCACAAACAAAAACAAAAATAAAAAGCAAAAGAAAAGCGAGACCGCACAGAGGCGCCGCGACGATGCTATGTTATATTAGTCATAAGCACACGATTATATTACAGTTACGCGACAACATATGTACAACTAACAAGTAAGATCACCTTCCATCGAAGGGGGAGAGGGATGCCGCGAGCGCCAAGTAAGGGACACATGGAAGCCGAACCCTCCATGGTTCCCTTCCATCAAAAGGGGAGGGATGTCGCGAGCGCCGAGAAAGCAATCACGCTCACCGCTGACAAAACGGATTGCGGCAAGCGATACTTTATCCGACGAATTATTATTTTACCAAGCGATAGCGATTACCAACGCTACCGTGCTAATCGCGCAAATATTGTGTAATCGTTCCACGGGAAGCAACTGTTAACCGGGTTGCGCGGCCCTTACGCGGAAAACCGCCGCGCGACCCAGAAATATACCGCGAACGCTGACGAACATGTTGATGACACGGCAAGGACCGGCCGTCTGGAACAGGATAAAAACGGGAGACCGATACTAGAAGAGGTCTCGTCGAGATCCGCCGTGCCGTCACGTCTGTCGCGGTCCGAATTAAAAAGGACAATCTGTATCAAGTGTTAATAAAATTTATTGATTATCAAACAAAGTGGTGAGCGCCTCCTTCCCGCCGATTCCTTGACCGATCCACCGAAACGACCCGCACAACACTTTATTGACTAAATAAGTATACGAGATAAAAAAAGGTATAGCTAACCGAAATAAGGATAGTATAATAAAACAAAGGTTGTATAATTGAATATATAGACTTAAAAATTTTTTTAGATTGCTGGGAAGGTATCCACGATTCGGGCCTCTTTCTCGATTCGTGCCTCCCCTAGAGATACCAATGCGTCACGAAGGTTCGTGACCCCCCAGTCGTCCTCGTGCGGCAAGACTAATTTGACCATTGCGGCCCCATTTTCCAATGGACGTACGATATTAATATATCCACTGCGTCCTTCGGCTAGGATTCAGCACAGAGCTCTAGTTTTCTTGGACCAAAATCTAGTTGGTTTAGCCGGTCCTGTGTAGGCTAGTCCACAGGTAAGAGCCTGCCAGCTTAACTCTTGGCAACGTCCTTCCAGGCGGAAGATTTGATGGAATGGTCTCCACACCTGGCGTCCTATGTCTCTGAGATCGATCCGGGCGGTCCTCTGAGCCGGGTTGACTCCCGTAATCAATCCCCTTTGCCATACGTCGCCGTCTTTTATGGCAACAGGCTTGTCTTCCTCTATGTCGTTGGGCCAGCAAATGAGTTCTTTGGATTTGCGGTTCATTCGGAAATTAAGTTCTTCCGATAGATCTTGCAGAGCTGATTCTCCATTTTTTAACCGCATCCAAAACAGGAGCGGAGATTCTATTCGTAGAATCTTACACTCGAGACGCCCGCGAGTCAAACGGCTGGTATCGATGGCTTCCATTCTTCTCTTCTCCCTTTTATTTTTACTTTCTTCACTTCTAAAAAGTTTATATAATTGTTAGGTGGTTAAAAAGGGGGAATAGTAGATAGGAGAAGGAAAGAAAAGAGGTTGTTTTGTTGTTATTATTTTTTTAGTTCGAACGAAGATCCTGATTTTTCCTCTGGTGGTAATAAAGGGTATACTTAGTTTTCGGGGGTCTTACTATACAGGTCAGACTCTGGTGCACTGGCCTGCTCGGGTTTTTGAACCCTTTTTGTCCCCAACAGTAATAAAAGATGAGTAATAGAGTCCCAGATGGCGCCCAGTAGATGTATGGACTATCCATATACGGTATGCAAAGCGTAACCACGTACGATCGTGTCTATTATTAGTTTTATGATTCTCCCGGTGAGGTATATTCCAATTACCCCGGCACTGATATTGCCGAAAATTAAGAATTTATTCCAAAATTCTTTCCATGCGGATGCAGCGATTTTTGTTATGGATGCTTCGTCTATTAGATTTGAGAGTGATTCCCCGTTCAGGGAGATTGGTTATCCCATCATCCGCCTGGCTACCGTTGAGCACCGCCGGTCGCTCAGCAGGGAACAATATGTGGTCGTGTAGATCATTGAGATCACTTTCGGTGTATATTCCGCTTGTAGCGAGCGATCCAGGGCTAACATATTTCCACGTAGGTTTGGTCATAGGTTTCATAATTGTGGGCGGTAATGATTCCACAGCTTTAGGCATGAGTTTATACCATGAGTCCCCTAGGTGATACATAGTAGGTGCGAAAGAGTTACAATTTATCTGAGTTCCTTGTTGCAATAGTACATGGGTTTGCGGCGTTAAGTAATAGGTTTCGTTTCCCCGAATGACTGGTAGTTGATTGTAACAATTATCAGTTCTTGTGATTTTTACTTACACGGGTACGCATTTTACGATATGTATTACTTCTCCGGCTAATAGGGCCATATATCCAGGTCCTTTCATTAGGTAATAAGCAAAGATATCGTGTGTTTGAGTGGCTATAGCTAAAGCGTTTTTTAACATTCCCTGCTCTAGTTCACATTGTTGCAAAAGGATATTTCTGTATAATTGATTTATCTGCGTACGGATGTGCTTTTCAATGTATACGAATTTGGAATTCATGTAGGTGAATATGTCGAGGTTAGAGACACGCGTTCGTTGTTTGAAAATCGTTACGCCACGCGAGATTTCGAAGATGATTAATTTGGGATGTTCGGTTCGAGTGAGTGTATAGCCGCATGTTGCGTATTTTCCTTTGCTAGTCAAGGCAAAAGTTGTATCTTGTGCAGTTAATGAATAGACTATTAGTTGTTGTTCATTTACGTTATCTATTATTTTGTCTGCAATCCCACTGTACAATACTCCATAATTGTTGAATTTACAAGTGTCGGCGGGCACTGGATCCCAATAGGTTTCACCTCCCTCTATATCTGTGCAATGGGTGGTAGTGAGTTCACAGGCCACTCCGGATCTGAGTAGCACTCGATTACTATTTATTCGTACGTCGGCTATATATTCTTGTAGTGAGATTTTTATGCTGGCGAGTACCACGACGTCAGTCTACGTGCCGTACGGATTCGAATACGTGCTCCCTTTGCACGATCCATCGGCGTCTACGTGTCCTGCCAATGTTACTGGTCGGGCAGTGGTATGATTCGGTTTTAATCCAGTGATATATCCGTTATGTAACTGATAAGTTCCATAAGAATGCATTCGTTGGCATACTTCGCGCGATGTTTCCTCTATATATGAATATTTGTCATTTAACACATCCATGGAGTGGGAAAACATTCCGCATTTTTTTATTAATCTATCTATTTCGACTTTACGTTGAATAACTTTACTGACTCGAATTCATTTATTTGTAGAAGTTGTATATAGACATTAGTTGAATTTACGTTCTGTGGCGGGATGTCGCATTCTTCGATATTTAGTAGAGATAAGGTTGTTAGATTTGTTGAGGGCGAGCCGCAGTCATAGCCTATTATCCCATGCGTTTTATGAAACCGGATTGTTAAAATTGCTATTATTACTGCCCAGCAATTATGGAGATCCATCTGAAAATGATTATGTTTTTTTTTCTTGTTATTTATCGGGAGGTAATTTAATATGCGAAATTCGTAAACGGTTAGGGTGGACGATTCGACTATTTTTCTTTATTCTAATTTTTACGTTAGTTTTATTTAATATTTCTAGTACTTCGTGTGGTTCGGTATACTGATCCCTAAATTTACCTGGTTTAGGTCCCTTTAATAGAAAAACGTAATTCCCAGGTTTAAAGATTTGAGGGTTGATTTTTTTGTCATAATATTTCTTTGATTTCTTTATGTTTCGCATCGATGATATTTTCACGCGCGTTCCCTCGAAGGTTATGGAGTAGAGTGACTAAGGTTACCAAATAGTCATCGTAACTAGTTAATTTATCTTCTGGTGCTAGAAATTTTTCCGAAGGTATTCTTGCAATTTTTCCAAATATTAATTCATATGGAGTATGTTTTGTAGCTTCGTGTACGCAGGTGTTATAATTAAACATTGCGAGGCTAACCCATCGGTCCCATTGTTCTTGTTCGTTTGCATATTGTTTAAGATACTCTCTTAGTGCGTGATGCGATCGCTCTAGAGATCCATTGGATTGAGGATGGAAGGCGGTTGTACAAAACTTACGAATTCTAAAAAGTTTTGCAATCTTTCTCATTAAGCGCTGACAAAATTTCTTCCCTGATCGGTTAGTATTGCTTTGGGTGCTCCGAATATACAAATGAATTTATTAACAAAAGCCTCGGCTATTCAGAGGTTTGATTTGGTAGGGGGATTCCCATGCTGAATTTAGTCAATTGATCTTGCAGTGTTAAAATGTATTCGTTTCCTCTCTCGGTTTTTTGTAAAGGCCCGACAATATCCATTGCTACTTTGTCGAAGGCTGTTCCCGGAATATCGGTAATTATCATGGGTTGTTTCATTTTAACGCGTACTAACTTTTTCAATTGACATTGTAAGCATTGCTGAATATACCGTTGGACAGATTTCATATTTTCCCAATAGTAATTATGCTTAATTCTGTTATACGTTTTAGTAACGCCTCTATGTCCACCTGTAGGTGAGCAATGTGTTTCGCCTATTATAGAAGGGCGAAGATCTTTCGAAGGATATTTTACTAATCCGTTACAAATAATTAGTTTAGTTAATGAGTCGAGAAAGGTCGTTTATATTTGTGTCTTAATATTGCTCCAAGGAATATTGCAAA